CATTTCCATCGAATATAGTTTTTTAAGATGAAAGTAAAAGATTTATTTAGCTATATCTTGACAGTCTGAAGCATTCCCTTGTCCTCTCTCAGATCTGGGTCCACAGCGCTCACAACGGCAGCGGATACTACAGCGGTTACGGTGAGGAGCTCCTTCAGTCGGATCACTTCAACTCCAGACTCAGTTTTGGAGACACTCAGACGGTTTGGGCCCGGACGGGTTACCTGGGTTTCCTCCGCCGCACTGAGCTCACCGATGCCAACGGAGGTGATTGTTTCATTTGGTTTTCCTCACTTCTTAGTTTTTTTCTAACAGCAGGTCTGAACTGCGTGTTCTTGCGTCTGAACAGAGAGACACGATGCTCTGTTTGTGGTCGGAGCTCTGGAGGAGGCCATGGAGCTGCGGGGGATGAGGTACCACCCCATCGACATCGAGACGTCAGTCATTCGCGCACACAAGAGCATCATGGAGTGGTGAGCTCAGGGTGACGTCATCCATCTGTGTCAACAGAAGAACATCAGTTTGTGTGTTTGTTGATTCAAATGATGTGTTGTCGTTCACATCATGTTTGACAAGTGAGAGGGTGAGAAGTGAGAGGGTGAGGAGTGAGAGGGTGAGAAGTGAGAGGGTCAGAAGTGAGAGGATGAGAAGTGAGAGGGTGAGAGGGTCAGAAGTGAGAGGATGAGAAGTGAGAGGGTGAGAGGGTCAGAAGTGAGGGTGAGGAATGAGAGGTTCAGAAGTGAGTGGGTCAGGAGTGAGAGGGTGTGGAGTGATAGAGTGAAAAGTGAGAGGGTAAGAAGTGAGAGGGTAAGAAGTGAGAGGGTGAGGAGTGAGAGGGTGAGGAGTGAGAGAGTCAGAAGTGAGAGGGTCAGAAGTGAGAGGGTCAGAAGTGAGAGGGTCAGAAGTGAGAGGGTCAGAAGTGAGAGGGTGAGAAGTGAGAGGGTCAGAAGTGAGAGGGTCAGAAGTGAGAGGGTCAGAAGTGAGAGGGTCAGAAGTGAGAGGGTGAGA